GGCCAAATAAACAAGTTTTAAGTTTATGTGGGCCGCAAAAAAACAAAAGCTTCAATTTTCATAGACACGTAGGCTTATTCCGAAAAGTATAGTATAAAAAAAAAAGAATAAGAGCAATGATAAAATTAATGTTTTCTTCCTGATACTTGGCATCTCTTCTCTGCTGCTATCTTTCCTACTTCAGGGGAAATTTTGTTCACAGTGATTACTTTCAGAACTGACCCAAGGTGAATGCCAGTAATTCTGGATCTGACAGCAGACTTATTTCCTTTCATAATTGTAAGTAACCGCTCACACCGTTCTATTGGCTGGGCCACAAAGATCTTCGTTGTGGGCCGCATGCGGGCCGAGAGTTTGACATGCTTGCCCTACATGGTTGGCGGTGCGGGGGGTGGGGGGAGGAGGGGTAAAATAGGAGGTTCCCAGAAGGAGGAAACATCTGGAAAGGAAAACACAAGAAGGAATTGTGAGGATTACAGAAGGGAAGGAGGGAACCCTCTTCACTAAGGGTCTCTTTACCCCAGAAGCTTTCACGGGTGTTATTACATTTGAGTTTTCTGGTGATTCTGTGCATTACACAGAATGTATTTGTCTCCCTTACAGATTAAAAAAAAAAAAACATGATTAGGGAGCAAGTGACTTGTAAAGCATCCCATGGATAATTCATAAAAGGCAGGACTATAATCCGGTGGCTTCCCGGTACAACCGAGTGCTATTTCTCCTCCGTACAGCTGCTTCACTGCTTTATAATTGTTACAGGCTGTACATAAAGAGGGCCCGACAGTTTTCTTTCGTCTTCTAATGCAGTTGTTACTGAAGTTAGCCAGATATTAATAAAAGGAAGGAAGCAAAGGAAGTCAGACATTGTTGAGCCTAATGGGCTGGGGAGCATGAGCCCGTTTGCTTGACGGCCAAGGATTAACACCCCTCCCGTACTGCATTAAGCACATGCACAATAGAAGTCAAAATGGCACAGGGGGAGGTGCTGGACCACAGAGGCCTATCTGTCTAATGTGGGAAAGGAATCATTGGCTAGGGGGTGGACCCATCAGAGGCCCGCCAAAGCTTGGGAAGTAGATTCGTTATTTTCAAAAAATTCCTGGTTCTTCCCAAGCCGAAGATGATTAAAAAAAAACCCCTGAGGAACAAAGAAGCGCTCTCTCTCTCTCTCTCTCTCACCCACTAGTAACACAATGGCCACATTCGTTAGCATGTTCTCTGCATAAGCAACCATGTGGTTAGGCCACCTGGGGCCCACAACAGACCATGCAGGCTCCGAAGGACGAAGCTTCAATATGAAACAGAATCTCTGGACACTGCCCTATGTTTCAGCCTTGAAGACAGGACTGGATTTTTTTCTGTGGCAGGACAGATGGAGATAGGACACTGGAAACCTACGAGGGGAGCTCCTTTGATTTTGCATCAGAAATAAATGCCGCCACACCACAGTCTCCCTGCTTCCCTGGAGATCCCGTGGCACAGCCTGCGTTCCACCGACAACACATTCATAAGAAGCCAATTCAAAATGGCATCCTGGACTAACACATATCTACAAAGTGCAACTGTCCACTTACAGAGACCATTCTACTAATTGAGAGACCACCGGACCCTTTTCTCCTCTTGGTCCCTCATCCCAATAAAGCACATCACCAGCAAGGACCTGATTGTGTTCCAGTTCCCTGACACAAAGGGAGAGAAAAAGTCAAGAAAGGAAGGGCAATGTTTCATTCAAGATGACCACTGCTTCCCAGTTTTCAGATGAGGAAGGTCCTGGGATATTTGATTCAACACTCTTAACAGGGACCCACGTTTTAAGAAAAGGCTCCTCTATCCTAGCATCCCATGATCCATCATTTTCCAAAGAACACAGTAGGTTTGGTGTTCATTTGATTAAAAAAAAAAAGTAAAGAAAGTTATTTGTCAAATGGACAGTGGAAAATACTTTCCCCCCCACCCCCTCCAAGCTTCTGACACTCACAGCACACAATAGAGGGGAAACGGCCATAAACATGACTTAATATGTGCCCTTTTGAAGTGGAGTAACTGTCGGACAAGTGACTATAAAAATAACACCGCTGAGGAGATCCAAATTTAATTCTGCTTAGTGAATTTCCAGATCAAAATGAACTCAATTAATCTGTCCAAGTTTTGCTTTTGTGCTGTTTTGTTTTGTTTGCTTCTAAAATTGCCTTTCTTTTCATAGATGCTAGCAGACTCCACTTATGACAGAAAAGGACTTGCCAGCCTCACACACCATCACTTAGGCAGTGGTTCTCAACCCTCCTAATGCCATGACCCTTTAATACCGTTCCTCATGTTGTGGTGACCCCCAACCATAAAATTATTTTCGTTGCTACTTCATAACTGTAATTTTGCTACTGTTATGAATCGTAATGTAAATATCTGATATGCAGGATGTATTTAGGCGACCCCTGTGAAAGGGTCGTTCGACCCCCAAAGGGGTCGAGACCCACAGGTTGAGAACCACTGACTTAGGGAGAGCGAATGGCTGTCAGACAGCTGCCAGTTTCTCAGGAGTACTCAGGGGGTGGCGAGCACCCGAGCGCCTGCAGAGGTGGGCGGGGCCGGGCAGGGGTTCCCCACAAGCTGTGATGGCCAAGTCCAAGGGCACAGGTGCTGAGACCGCCTGCTCAGGAGAAGGGCCCAGCTCTGTCCATGCTTGGGTACTGACCACTTACTCCTTTCTATTCCCCCCTCTTTCTTCTCCCATTCTTCCCTCCCTCCCCCCCCTCCCCAACACACACAGCCAGACACAGGCTCCAGAGTGGCAGACAACTTAACACGTGGTCTTTCAGGCCACAGAGGAGTCTCCAGTTTTCTTGTGGAAGAGGGCAAAGAGCCATACTCCATCCCCTGCCTGCCCCAGCCAGCACCCAACCATTCCCACCCGCAGGACGTTCAGTGGCAATTACCAGGGCCAGGGTAGTGCAGGTTAGGGTAGGGCAGTCATCTGGAGACTTAATTAAGGGCCATTAGGAACATTCCAGCAGGGGGAGAGGGAAGCGTGCAAGGAGGTTTCCTTTTGTGTTGAGTATGTGAGTGTGAGTGTGAGTGTGAGTGTGAGTGTGAGCCCTGCAAGCAGGGCCTTGTTGGACTCCCCAGCAGGCCTGCAGCAGAGGGCTCACCTCGTTAAAGACTCTGAAGGTGAGAAAAACTCAACTTCATTTTGGATCTAACGTAGTTCAGAGATTGCTTTTGAGAAGGCCAGACAATTAAATCATTTTACTTTTCACAGTTTATAAAACCTAAATCTACAGAAAACATAAATTCTGGACAATTCAAGTTTAGTGTGATCAGGTTTCCATTTACATTACATGAGAAGACTTCAAAGCAGGGCTTGACGGCATCACTGCTCCAACTGCACTGAATACTCAGCCTGGCTTATTCATTCCAGGGCACTGGCCCCTGTGGACAGTGAGGGGCGCACCAGCAGAACTTCAGGACAGAGCAAAGGCCATGAGGATGGTGGGGTCGGGAGAGCTGGGATCACAGTCCCCAGAGCTGGGGGCAGAGCCGGGACAACCGCAGAGGACTGGGCACTCCAGGTCAGCGCTCCTGCCATTGCCTCCTTTCCTTAAATCAAGACCCCAGACATAAGACTCGTGACTCCAGGCAACTTGTGAGAGGACTCTGTCCAGTAGAACAGCCCAAGGCCCGGGAGTTATCAGCTCCTTCAGAGGCCTGGCAGGAATTTCCTGTTATGTGATCTGGGTCTTGCAAATGGCCACAACCACGCTGAGGCTGCCCCTTCTTCCCCTCCCCCTTAGGAGAAATGATTGCTTTTAGTCACCGGTTGCCTGCAGGGCTCCAAGGACTGGGCCCAGCTCCAAGAATGTCCAAAGGGAGCCAGCATGAGGGTCTGCTCGGAGAACAAAGAGCAGGCCGGCCCAGGAGACAGCGAAATCCCAGCTCCAGGCAGCTCGGCTCTGGGTCAGCTGTGGCTCTGCCCAGAGGAGGAACAGTCAGCAACACGGAACCCTCTGGACCCAGGGCCATGGGCCTAGTTGTTAACAGAAACCTGGAGGTGCTTCTGGTTTTCTGTCATGTGTTTTTTTCCAACTGTAAAAGACATATTACACACAAAAACATACATGCACACACATGCACAGCCACCAGGCAGGGAACTAAAGGACTGCAGCACTCGAGGTAATCCCACCCATGTCCCCATCACTCCCTCAGCCCCTCCAGAGGTAACCACCATCTGGCTTTTAGGAATCATTATTTCCTATCATTTTTACTATTTGTGTGCGCATCCCTGAAGATCGCAGTTCAGTCTTGTCTATCACTGTACAGTACACTATAGCTATTTACTGTTTGCTCACTTTGTTTCTATATAGTATTCGATTGCACGGATAGACTTCATTTATCCATTCTGCTGTCCGTGGACATTTACATTGTTTTCAGGTTTTGGCGACTACAAACAATGCTGCATGAGTATTCTTGAACATGTTCCCTGGTCCTCAGGTGCTGGAGTTGCTCTGTGACACACACTTGACAATAAAACACTGCATCATGCAGAACACACTCTTCACCTCAACTACACCACTCTCTGTTCCAAAGCTGTGCTGCCTTTGCCTCTCCACAAGACACTGGGAAGCCCACCCGCTTATACAGAGGAGCAGCCCCTGTGACTCAGAGGCCAAGAAAGCCGCATCCATCACCCGACTGGCAAGTTAAAGCTCGGTCCTAACACCGCCTCTGTAAGACAAAGCCCAAGACTTTAAAATCCTGAGCTTAACCAGAAACAACAACTAAAATGACTGAGCTTTCCAAACTCCCCCAAAAGAACGAGATGGCATCTCCAGTCCGGAGCCTACACACCTGCCCATACTATGAACTGTAAGTAATAACCACAAACGTGTCCCTAAGAGATTGAGTGCAGAAAGACTGCACGCTGATTAATCCCAGTCGGCACGAGTGGTAGGAGAGGGGGGTGAAGGGTGAGGAGGGGTCCTGGAGGCGCCCCAGCCTCCACGCACCTGTACACCGGCTGCATCTCTCGCGCGATGCCAATGATGGCGCCTGGCAGGAAATTGTCAAACTCCTCGAACAATTCCCGGATGTTGGTCTTGTACTTTAGGTCTAGGTCCAGCTGTATTATCTGCAGGATCTCTGGAGGAAAGAAAAAGACAACAATAAGACACAGACACGCATCCTGGGAGGCTCGGCTATTTATAGAAAATGAGTGGAAGGTGCAGAATGGGGTTCTGGATTATTCTTGCTGTCCCTGAAGATGCAAAGTTAGCGCTGGAAACACAGGGCCTTCCTTTGCCAGCAACCCCCTCCGCAAGATCAGAAGTCTCCAGAAACAAATGTCACATATCTTTCCTTCCAATTGTAGACACATTTTATTTTAATCCAGGTGACCATATGCTCCAGTTAAGGCCTACTGTCCCGGTGTAATTGTCAACAGCGCACCGTTTCATTCTCAAACACATCTGACAGTTTATGGACACCCTACTTAAAACTGAAAGCATACAGGTGTTGCTCTTTGGGGCACAGGTGGTATATGACCCACGGGAGAGAGGGGTAAGAACTGCTATTGTCTTAAGCTCTCGTAAGTACATTCTGGAAACCTAAACACATATCAAGTCAGACAAAGCAAGTCTCACAATGACCTGGCACGGAAGAGCTGTTGGCTTCCGCTGCCTCCAGATAACTCAGGAGTGAGTAGGGAGGAGGGGGGTGTTGACCAAGTTCATTCTCGCATCCTTCACCTGACCAAGCCTGTCTGAGCCCCCCACCTATGCTGAGGACCCAGCCCTCAAGGAGAAACATGCCGGTGACTAAAATCAGGGAGGGAGGGAGGGACTGATGCTGACATGAAATGGAAGAGGGACTGGGGAGCTCTGAAGAGGGGATTCTTGGGGTTAAATGATGAAGAGCGATAGAAGTACCTGGTACTAAGGAGAAGGCCTAACTAACGGGAATCAGACCACATGCGTGTAAGGTGCAGCTCTGCTGCTACTGCCGAATTTTGTAACCCTGGGGAAATTATTTTACTTCTCTAAATCTTAGTTGTTTCATTGGTTGAAGTGGGAACAATACAATGTGCCTGGTGAGGCTGAGATGCCAAGAAGATGGGACAACAGTGGGAAACGTCACCTACACAGGCTGTGGAGGCTACAGGGGCCCAGGGCTTGGAGAGTGGGAGGCTTGCAGAGGGAGGCCTGAGGCCGTCTAAGAAAACTTAACAAAAGAGAGTGCATGGGCTGGCCCTCAACATACGGGCAGCATGGAGAGGGGGTGCAGCACCGCCACCATCCGGGGCATCAGGGCTCCCGCCTGGCTCTTCACCAGCCTTTTGGCATCTGCCCACGGCAGAGGCCCCAGCTGCCTGAGGACAGGCTGCCCCTGACGCCCTCTGAAGACAGGCACCCCATCTTTGGTGTCTCAGCCTCCATTCACCCAGTACAAGGCTTGGAATCCCGTAAACACTGAGGAATGTTTGTGGAATTTAAGTGCCATTCTCTAAATTAGTTCATGAAGAAATCACAGCTTACTATTTAAGAAAAACTGAATCATTTGTTCCTCACTCTATTTTCCTTTGTGATGCAGAAACAAAACATTCTACATGAGTTTCCTGAAAAAGAAAAAAGTTATAGGAGATGCCCAACTGGTATGGCTCAGTGGTTGAGCATCAACCTAGGAACCAGTAGAGATCGATCAGCTGCCTCTTGCACGCCCCCCAGTAGGGATGTGCCCGCAACCAAGGTACATGCCCTTGACCGGAATCGAACCCGGGACCCTTCAGTCCGCAGGCCGATGCTCTATCCATTGAGCCAAACCGGTTCGGCCATGAGTTGACATTCTACATGAGTTTCCTGAAAAAGAAAAAAGTTATAGGAGATGCCCAACTGGTATGGCTCAGTGGTTGAGCATCAACCTAGGAACCAGTAGGTTATGGTTCAATTCTCAATCAGGGCACATGCCCAGGTTATGGGCTCAATACCTAATGGGGGGGGGAGGGGTGCAGGAGGCAGCCGATCAATGATTCTCTCTCATCACTGATGTTTCTCTCTCTCTCCCCCTCTCCCTTCCTCTCTGAAATCAATAGAAATATATATATATTAAAAGTTACAGTAGGTAAGAATCCAGCTGCCCAGGCCAGAGGACAGTGAGAGGGCACCAAAGATAGCCGCTCTGGCCCTGTGGGCGGCATATAGAAAAATGGGCCCCCAGGGCCAGTGTGGGCCCTGCTGCCTGCCTGGCTTCACACTGCCCGCCCCATATAGACACATGAGTGAAACACTGCTTTCCTTCCTGCACTAGAAACAATAACAACCTAGAAACCAGGAAAGGTGATGACCCCGGAGCTCCTTGTGGTGACCTTGCCATCTCCCGGAAAGCTGCCCTGAGCCAGCAGTGAAGACGAGCAATGAATGGGCCACAGGCAGCGTCTCCAGGAGCCTGCTGCTCGCAGACACAGCCCTGGGAACAGAGGAGAGGAGCCTGATGGTAACCTTGGGGAAGAACAGCATCCCAAGAGAGACTGTCCAGGGATGAGAATTGTAACCATCAAGAAGCCATAATGGGCCCAGCCAGCGTGGCTCAGGGGTGGAGCATGGCCCTGTGCACCAGGAGGTCACTGTTCGGTTTCCAGTCCGGGCACATGCCCAGGTTGTCATCTCCATCCCCAGTGGGGGGCGTGTAGGAGGCAGCTGATCAATGATTCTCTCTCATCGTTGATGTTTCTATTTCTCTCTCCTTCTCCCATCCTCTCTGACATCAATAAAAATATATTTAAAAGAGAAAAAGAAGCCACAATGGGAGGCCCCACAGCACACACGCCCTCCAGCCATTTCTCTTCTTTCTTTCGGTCCACCTCCTGTGTCAGAAGCTCCCACACGCAGCTCCTACACTGGATAGAGCAGAGCCTGTCTGAGACTGGGACAGGGTGGCACTTCGTCCCAAGCAGAGAAACCCCATCATTGCAGGTCCTGTTGGTGAATGGGGGCCGGGAGTGGGCAAAGGGCAGTGACCTGGAGAAGGGGAGGCCTCAGGTTGTTTGGAGGTAATTCTGTGGCCCTGTCATGGTTCTGAGAGAAGGGTAAACCTCATCCTCTTGGTGCAGGGAGCACTTCAGTACCATCAGGGATGGCCAGAGAGAAGCAACCTTCCTTTGAGGGCTTTTAAGTGTCCAGCCTTGCACAGGCAATAGTTCATTTCTCATAACCTCCCAACATGTTTAGATGAAGGAAGAGAGGGTTAGAACAGTTAAAAACAATAGCCCAAGGTTCACAACAAATTAAGTGTTGGAGCTGGGATCTGAACCTGGGTCTGCTTGACTTCAAAGCCTAGCATGCTCTTTCCACAGACTCTGAGTCCCCTTCTGACCGGAAGGGAGCCCCACGAGGCAGATTTGGCTCCAAGGCTATGCACACAGAGGCCCAGGAGCAGGCAGAGGTGCCAAAGACCTTGACAGACAAGAAGCAGAACAGCGAGCTGGCCAAACGTGGCGTTTAAGGGAAGTCCTCCACATGAAAACGTTAATTTCACTGTAATTAAACTCCCAATGGCCATTCTGTCAGTCAGTCATTCTTCATTGAAAGTCTACACGTGCTATGTGTATGCTCCGGTCTTTCAAGGTCAGCCCACCCTACCTATTCTGCAAGGAGCAGCCCGAATGCCTCCTTCCCTGGCCGGCTTGGACAGGCCCTGGTCAGAAGTAGCTGCCTGCCTCCGGTCACTGTCACCTGTGCACTTGTCTCACCGCCCTTGCCAGAGAGGATGCTCCTTGAGGAAGGAAATGTGCTGGAAGGCAGAGCTCAGGGTCCTCAGGTGTCTCCCGAAGAGACACAGCTCCTTCATTCGGGCAGAGCCCTGACCATGTCCCAATAAGCCCCTCCATAAATCGGGGCACTTGCCCTGCTCGTTAGGGACTGGCGGGCAGTGAGCCTGGAAAGGTCGTGCAGTCCTAGGACATGGTCATTTGAGATGCTTTTATACTTTTATAGCTCCTCTTTCAGGAAGGGTCTGCTGAGGGCTGCTCACACCTTTTTCAAGAGGGACTTCACCAAACGAGGCCAACTGGTCAGGAAGGAATGCAGCAGCAGCTCCAGCACTAAGTGGCCCCTGCACACCAGTGTGAGAAGCCTGACCCAGCTGTCACCTTCCAGGCTGAGGCAGGAGGACACGCCCTCTATTCCGGGAGGCAGACGGCCCCAAGCGCAGCCTGCACGGTCGGGCGGGCATCTGTCCAGACTGTTATCCTTTTATGTAATTATGAAATAAGATGCCAAGTTGTGAATGTCACTGCTGAAAAGAGGAATATGCTTACCAGGAAAGCTGAAATCCATCAGATTCTTTTAAAGGGCCCTGTTCCTCTGGCCTCCGGCCCTTCACGTAGTCATCTCTCCGTGGAAACTACACCTGGGGGTTTTATACATAATGCTGAAAGGCTGTTGTGAGAATGAAACAAGACTGATATCTGGAAAGAGCCTCCTCGGTAGCCCAGAGAGGATGCTGGGCGGAGGACAGCTGTAATGGCAGCAGAACCACTGAAATTTAAGGAATAAATAAGTGAGCTAATTGTCCCCTAGCAAAGAGGAGATGAAATCTATAAAGAATATTTGAGAAAAAGAAGGACTCAAAGGAATAGTCAAGCATCTAAGGCTGGTGGAATGTTCACTATGTCAGAATCCTGCAAGAAGATAACAAAAAGATAGAACAATCTAGGATAACAGATCTGAAAGACAGCCTTATAATAAGAGGCCAATATACCCATTGCACAGATGAGGAATCTGAGGGCCAAAGAAGAAGAGGGATTTGTCAGGGGTCAGTCAAGCTAAGTAGCAAAATTGGTCCCAGAATTCAGGTATTCTGACTCCCCAGTGAATGCTTTTATGCTAATTAGCTCCCCCTCCCAACATCCACTCCCAATATGGGCCCTAAACTCCTAGAGGGCAAAAAACATTGTGTAATGGCCAGAATGGTCACACACAAGACTTGCTAGGCACCCAACACTAGCTCATGAAGGACCTGCATACCATCCCATGGAAATGTAAACCTGAAGATTAATAAGTAGCAGCCAAAGAAAAGAAGACACCACCATGATCCACTTTATAGCCAGTTTTGGGAAATGAGAAAACTGCTCTCCATATTCTCATATT